GAGTGCCCATGTTAAACGACGGCTTCAATTGAACGATATGGTAGGGATTCCGTTGCACAAAAGTTACAACTCCGCAGTTGTAGAGGCAAGGGGGGTATGAGAATATGACTTGCGTGGAAAAAGATTGTCGAAACTACGTTGAACACGTGAGGCTGTTAAGACTCGGAGAAGGAGATGCCGCTGCAATACAAGCTTATTTTTCGAGCATGCAAGCAAGGTGCTCAGGTTTTTACTTCAGTACCGCAAAGGTATGTGGCCATTTTTTTTTAATATTGTGCGTATGTGTAGTTGTATGTATAGTTATTATCTGTTGATTATGCAGTCACATTCGACATCAACTAAGGGAAGGAAACGGAAAGCAGGCCCGAGTAAACTAGGAAAGTTCACACGGGCACATGATCAACTACTGAATGAAGAGATGCCGACACAATTCTCATATTCACAACTTCTAATGGTTCGTCTCCTTCGATTCACCAATGTACTTGATTTCCACATTTTAGTTATATCATGAAATTTATGTAGGGTGATAGCGATGGTCATGTATTTACACAACAAGGAATGTCTCAAAATTTCTTCCCATCGGCTTCATTATTCAATGGTCAAGGTATGCGGTTAACCTTATTGAATTTATTTCAAGTCCTACTCTAGTTTACGTAATGAATTCATTATTTATTTGACAATAGGAAATTCAATGTCGTACTATTATCCAAATGCACCTCACCAACGTGACGGAAACATGTGATGAAGGCTTTTTGGCCCCTATGTATTGAACCTGCACATANTATGTCGTACTATTATCCAAATGCACCTCACCAACGTGACGGAAACATGTGATGAAGGCTTTTAGGCCCCTATGTATTGAACCTGCACATACTGGGGAATTTGCATATTTGTATGGGTGAGGCATCAGTGATGGCAGCCTGTGAAGATGGAGGGGATGCTATCTGAAGTGAAGATGATTTGCAAAAAAATTACTTTTTTGGTGAAGAGACAATTATCCAATGATCTTAAGACTTTTAGTGTTGTTATTACTGTGTCTATTGGGTGGATAATTAAGACTTTTTATAGTTTTGTTAGTACTTTGTCTATTGGCAGCTTCTTAATGTGAAGGAGTTATTACAGTTTTATTATTACAGCCTCTGCAGTCTTTTAGTATGATTTTCCTGTTTTCTGATGCAATTTATATGGCAATTGAAGAGCATTGTGATATAATGATTGATGGAGTTCCTCTCGATAGTTACTTTTCCAGAAGTGTTTAGATTGTGTTTTTTTAACCATAAATACTGCAGTTATTGTAGATGTTTAAAACATTTATAATATGGTTTTTACATTTAACTATAGCTGATGCAGCTATGTTCAACAACTAAGATAAATGGTAAATTGTGCCGTGCTATTTGATTAATAATATTAGTGCTACTATTAAGATTATTTAGTTTTTATAGGAAATTTCACATTGAATTTGGCGATTATTACACAGGCGGCTGTGTCATTTAAACTTGGATCTATGTTAATTGATTGATACAGATTCGCACTGCAAGATATGGATGAATTTTCCGGCATATAGCATCCCTGCCAATTGATTGTTATTGCTTGAGCTCATAGCATATATGTGAAGCTAAATGAAAATGCAATGACAAGAGTTGGCTGGAAACAATAAGAACACTAATATTTCAGATAAGGAAGCAGTGAATTCGCATTACAGACTCTTTCCCAAGCATATATTACACAACAATATTCACAGTGGTAGGGAACCACACATCCAACTACACAACAAGTGACACATAACTACTACTACTCAAGCAGGTCCCTTCCCCTTCTTATCCGCTTCGGCACTTCCGTTGGCCTTGCGTATTGTCACGTTCAACGAAATCTCAATACTTTTTTCTTCGGCTATCCGACAAAATGATTCGAACAAGCGAGAGAACTGTTGAACTTCTTCGACCAACACGTGATCATTTGAGTTAACGGTAACGCTACTCGATCCGCCACTGGATTCTCCTTTGTCGACCCATTCCCAATACTTACAATTAGCACTGCAGCAATTGAACATCCGACCTTTGTTCTTCGTGTCCTTCTCGACCTCAAAGCACTTCACAACACCAATTTTACACACAGGGCATGGCCCTTTTTTGTCGCAGTCAGCAAACAAGTGACTCTTCTCTCGTCAGCTATGACAAAGTCCAGAATTCTTACCAGGCCTAATGCACACGAACGAACCAGAGAAAGCTACATTACAACACATCCACACAACAGTGTAAATTCTTTAAAAAAATGTATTATTCGAATAAATCAAAAGCGAGTAAAATGGATACCAAATACACCATTCTTACATTTTTTTTGTTGCGAAATTCTGCTACTAGACAATGAGCGATTTAAAATGAGTGAAATTCTGCCACTAGAAAACGAGCTTTTCGAAGACAGGCAAGTAGAAAATGAGCAATTTAATAGAATTAGTGGATGCCCAACTGGTTGCCCTGCCACTATATTTCTGCGTGGTGGAGTCGATGGATGGTGTCGGAGATCGAAGTATCTGCTGCACACGGTGGAGCTGCGTTCTTCTAACTTAAACAAAATTACCAATCGTGCAAGTGTGAAATGTGAAGGAGTGTCTGAGACAATTGCTACATTAAGTAGCGACTTCGGGTTCCGGTTGAGAGATGGAGGAATGCCGGAGTTCGACTGAGATATGGAGAAGTGTCAGTTGAGAGAAAGTGCCAAGGGTTTTCTGATTTGGGAATTGGGAATGAGATCGAGGGATGAACATTGGGTAGTGGGTGAAATGTTGAAATGGGCCTGTTCAATTTTGGGCCATATTTGTTGGTTTGTTTTGTTTCTTTTATTTTTTTGGTTTTTTTTTGGGAATAATCAGGTGCTTGACACGTCACCGTGTCTAGCACCGTGTGAAGCAACAAGTACGAATAGCGTGACCGTTATGAGAAATTGTGAAAAAAATAGTAATAATAAATCTTTTTTCTTTTTTTTACATGCTAATGTTGAAGAGCTCTCCATCATCTCCTTATTCAAAGATCCACACGTGTAAGTACACATTTTTCTTCAAGAAAACTTCTTTTTTCTTTTTATTTATAAGAATTGGTGTATTTGCTTGACAAATTAACTCAAATGAAATGGTGGGGATCCTGAATTTTTCATATTTTAATCTAGATTTGGAATTTATAATCTGGAATCAAGAAATTAATTCAAATGCATTGAAAAATATATTTCTTTCGTATTGTTAATTTACTTTTAGTTCATAAAACCAAAAATTGAGGTTTCTGATTGGGTGTAGATAGTAAGTTTCATCTGGGGCATCATCGAAATCAAGTAATGTTCCTGTTTCTCTAATTGATTCTGGCTGATCAACTTACATGCCTTATCTGTTTTTGTTACTAGGTCTTTTTTGAGTTGTATCCAACAAGGAATTAACACTTTTCATTGAGATTATACTGCAAAATTTGATTTTGGACATCATTTGACACGGCGAAGTTCTGCCTGTTTTGCTTCTTTGAATGTCTAAATCATTTTATTCTACGACCACATCTCGGTTTAGGAATGTAGATTCAATCCTCTGATGATAAGATAGTAAATATGAATGCTGACGTGGTGGGTGATGAAAGTTGGAAGAATTCGATAATGAGATGGTAAGGGATAATGTTAAAATATCGGGAAACGGTTAGGGATAATGTTAAAATATCGGGTGATAAAATGGTAGGAGAAGATAGTGATATTGGTCAGAGTAATGTCATGAATATGGAAAGTCCTATTTCATGATAAATTCAATTTGAACATAGATAGAGCCGATTGTTAAATACTTGTTTTAGAATGCCAAAACATCAATAGGATATAATTGCAATTAAATTACATTTAATCGAATATACTTTCAATGTTTTAAGAAACAACATAGATAGTTTTTCGCATATTGTTGATGATACAGTACAAACTCCATGTGAGAACTACATATATGGTTTTCCACGGTTCTCTTTCCATTCTTTTCCTTTACCGTCTATTCAATAGTTAATTTTTCCTTGCGGGTAATTATATTGAGGGATATCTCCACTTCTTCTTTAGATATTCGAGAAAATATTTTGAATATTCAAACTTCAAATTGTTAGGCTAAGATATAATCAAACAAACTCCTCTTGATTCGCTTTCTTTATAAACACCAATGGATTGACATTCTAGTTGCAAGGGTTTTTTCTGGATAAAACATCACTGATATGATCTAGGAGTCAAGCCCGATGAGAACAAGTCCGGGACGGATGTTGGGTGATATGGGTAGAATGAGAAGTAGAGGGGGTGGGTTTGAAAGAAAGGGTAGAAGTCATTTTGGAGATGAANTAAGGATAATAATATTTATTATCAGTGATATTGAAAACAATCTATTCGTTATTTTTAATTGAACTTGTAATTTAGTGTCACTAGTGTCGTCACTTGGATTGATGTTAAACTTAACAACAGTAGTGCTAAATTGTTCTTTGGTGCATACATCTCATCTCATAGTGGGACGCAGAAAGATAATTTCATTACAAATTAGAGTTGGATTCAAAAACTTAATTTGAAGAAAGCTCCACTTTTGTCTCCTTATTTTCAATCAGTAAGGAAATAGGACGCTTTGAAAGGTATTAATATGGGATCCCACAAGGCATGACTTCCTCTTTATGATTCTTTGGTCATAAAATGGGTTCTAGAGATCATTATTATTATTTTTATCAAACCGGGTGTAAATTAAATATATTGAAAAGACCTCATGCAACAAGACAATTTTTTGCGCCGTGGATTTCAATTAACTACTAAATAGCGGAGGGCGCCACATACTTCTTGTCTACTAGTAGTCTAAAAATTCAAATAATCTACATTCTACGAATTGATAAAAAGCACATGGTATCAAGTTATGAAAATTAAATCAAAGATGATCAAATAAGAAGATATACGACAATCAACTAATCGAATTTGAATAGAGTAAATATGTGGTGGTCTACGAATTTTTGAAATCATAAATAATATTATACCAAATTGCAATAACATGTTCTAAAAACGATTTTCATATCACTTAGCAATATCATATGATCGTACAGAAAGTAAGTATTTGACTCTTAAGTCCCTCTTTAAATATATTTATAATAATACATACTTTGATTTACTTCTATTAATATCTAGATTAATCTCAATTGGTAAAATGGTTATGAATAATGAATGCTTACCAAACCTTTTATGGATTACGACTTATTCGTTGATCTAAAAAAGGTACCTCATTACTCGTTCATCTGTTAAAAAATTTCTCATCCACCATTAATTAAGAATTTGTTGACATCGTTTGACGGAAAAATCTCAAGTGGCCAATGGAAATCCCACATGACACTTAGATGGCGTTAATGCTTCCACCTCAATAAAAAATGCAATCAACGATGCTCACTTAACTTTGGTCACTTTCTTCTTACTCACTCAAACAAAAAATGTGTCTCGTTACTCACACATCCAAGGGCAGAATCAGGAATATTATTCAGTGCAGACACAATTTAATCAATATCGAATTCCAAGTTTTTTGCCATAAATTTAATGATTATAAAAATATAAAACAATATTACAAAAGAAATTAGAATTGGAAATATTATTTGTCACAGTTACAAGGGCTAGTTGGAGTTGATGAGCAAAACAATGAATGTAAAAGTACCAGTTCTCTTTTAAAATGAGTACTTTGAGATCATTAAGCTTACCTTACATATTAGTTGCCCTATAACAACTTTGACCTCTCAATCTAGACATGCTCAAATTATATCTAGAAAAGACTTCAACAATTGTAGTCTTAAGTGAGAGAGTTTTTCATCCATTCCAAAACACTTCAAATGCGTTTTTCATCCATTTCAAAGTCCTTCCAATCAAACTCTCAATCCTTCATGAAGTTTCATCCCCTTTTAAATTGAACCAAATTGTTTATGCCTCCTTTATCAATCAACAATCCAAACCTAATCCAAATACGAATTTGGATCGTATTCTGACAATCATTTTGAAAATTCATGATCTTCAAGTTGACAAGGACTTTTAGCATATATGCTCTTCAAACTTGATATCAGAGGTTAGTATTGTAATCCAAAATTGGTATACTTAGTCCACGATTAGGAAGTTGTGTGACATCAAAATCCACTTTATTCGATATCTCCAAATCAACTTTTCTATGTCTGATTTTCTTTGAAAAAATCTCTTCATTTGATATCTGGATTAAAACATAAACGCTATTAATAATGCTTTCAAATTACCAAATCAAGTTAAATGTAACCATTATATCAAATGATGCAACAAAAATCAGTTGAAATTAATGACGGCAAAATGAATTAATGATTGACAGAAACAAAACCAACAAATTTAATGCACAACATCAAGTAAAGTGGCAAAAGACGGATCATGTAGCGGACATCAGTTGAAGTCTTGAAGAAAGTCAATTTAAGAACATTGAATACTCTAAAAATTTAACCACGTTTCCAATTAGACATCAGAGCATTTCAATTTTAAAAAAAAAAAAATCACAACAATGTCTCATTACACCCGTATTCAAAATCGAATCCTAGAAAAATAAAAAAATGCTCCCAAATGTATTATTCCTCAAACTATACCAGATGTGCGGACAGAGGTACAGTACTATAGCAGCACTGTGGCGAGACGAAATGGGCTTCAAAGTTGGCCAGCTCAAAACAAGCATATGGCCACGGATTCGCCATTCGTGAGTTCATTATAATGTGGATTGTGGCGTGTTTTCTTCTTTGCGTATGTTTCTTCTCTGATCGTAGGCTGTGAGTAGCCATGTCAACAAGCCGAGTAAAGTCGAGTCGAGCCAAGCCACGAGCCGAAATTCAAAGCTCGGGCTCTGTTCAAGCAAAATAGGTTCGAGATTATTTGGGCCCAAGCCGAGCCGAGCCGAGCAAAAGTTCAGCCAAATAAATGAAGCTCGGCTCGAGATTTCCACTCGAGCCTTAGCGGGCCGAGCTGACTCTTGTTTTTCTTTAAAAAAAAAATCGTTTTAAATCTATAATTTTTTATAATGTATTTAAAATTTGTGCAATTTATACGTACTATAAATAATAATTAAATATTAATATATAAAAAAATACATCTAAACTTAAAAAAATAAAAATAAAAAAACAGCTCGGCTCGCCGATGACGAGCCCGGGCTAGCTCTGAGCTAAAATAATTATGGTGATTGTGATTATTTTTCTTGACTACTTTTAACTTATTGCAAATGTTGAAGTAAAAAAATGATTACATCACTTTTGCCAACTTCATTGATGATTTGAAAGAGGTAATCCGAGTTGAAATATGTAACTGGTGCTAAAATAGTCAAATATTGCTGAAATGATAAGAAAATAGTACTTTTGCATTGAATAAAAAGAGTTTGAAGTGAGTTTCATAAAATAGTTGAGTTCGGTCCTTGTGGGGGATTATCATAACCCCATTTATAGTAGAAAATAGTCAAGTTGGCTTATGTTACATCAAATCAGGTAATATTACCTATTCAATTGATTGTTGAGGTCGACTTCCATGAGCCAAGTTGGAGTTGAGAAGGGAAGTAATTATTACCTAATTTGTGATTGGCCACGTTTAGGGGTGCCACATGATATTTGCCATGTGTCCTAAAGTGATAAGTTTAGAAAAAGGTGTGATGTAAGTCTTAGAATGAGAGAAATTAGAGTCTAA